AAAAGGGCATTGACACAACTTGGGGGTTTAAAAATTTTTTTCCCCCAGCCCACCCTTGGCCTTCGAGCAATTACCACCCCCTTTTAAAATTTTTTAACTGACGGGAAATTTCCGTTGGGGTTTAATAATGTGCTCTCCCCGGCTTTACCAAAGCTGAAGTGTCCCCCAGGATGTTTCTACACAACACTTTTTCTCCTTGCATTAATGTTGGGGCCCTTAGTTTTCCTCAAATATTTGGTCATCACTAAAAATTTTGATGACTTGCATTGCCTGTGGGCGCTGACTGTCCCCTCTTACAGTTTCTCTCCGCGCAGTAAAACCGTTTTTCCAATTGGGCCACCACACAGGGGTTTAAATTTTCCAGCACTAAAACCCCCAAATCACTTCACTAGACCTCTTTCTCTCTAATCTCCTTTGTCCCTCTAGGCTCAGTATCCCTGAACGTGTACAGAAATTTTTGGGGGCCTCCTCTTTGATCGTAGGTTTATCCTGGAAACCTCAATTTCCTCTCAAAGGGCAACTTCACACCCGGCTGAACCTCTTAAAACCCTTGCTCATTTTCGTGGGGGGCGATCGTCGAAACCCCCCTTACCAAAATCCCCCATTTTTTCGAAAATTTTTTATGGTGACCAGATCTATTCAGCGGGATCTCCTGCTACTCTCTCTAGCCTTTTAACCCCCTTCATACCCAAAGGATTTCTTTTTTGCCTTGGGGCTTTTTTGCTCTTCCCCTGTCGAAAGCCTCTATCAAAGCAACGTTCCACCTATCCATCGCCGTGTCCCCCTTGCCTGCGCTACTATGTACGCTTCATGATTCCGCAATCCTTCCCTTTATAAATGGTCACGTTTAGTAACATTCTTTTTTGTTCCCGCCCCCGCTTACTCCGTCCCCTTTTCCTTCGCCTTTATTCGCTCTTTCTTCTCTTCAAACCACCTTTCTATGTAATGACATCCACTTTTCCCTCCCCCCGGGAAGTTCCAGCTTTTTCGAGTCTGTTCTTTCCCCTCCCGCCGAAAGCCCAACGCTACGGGCGCTCCCCCTCTTTTCTTGACCACTTTACTCTCATTCCATGCCCCTTGCTGTGTCCAGATGGTTAAGTCTTCTGACGGCTGGATTTGCAGCAGTGTTTTTGGACAGCGTGTACAAGGGCATTTACTATCTTCCTAGTATTTTTACGCTAAATTTTACCCTCCTTTCAGCAATTATCCGATTGCATCTATCCGTGTATATTTTTGGTTGTCTCAGACCCCTTAGTGCTTACAGGGTATACAAAAATTTGTACCCTCACCCCTTTGTCCTCCCTATCCCAAATTTGGTACGCCCCCACTTTACTAAACATAAAGATATTTTTTTTGTTGGGGGCCCGGGCATGTTACGTAAGGGGAATGAACAGGCGACACTGCTGCCGGGCAGCATACATAAACCCACCCGTTTTTTATAGAGGTTTTCCATGTACGGCTATTTTCTGTAAAATCTTCCCCCCTTACACCCCTTGGGAAAAACGTTGGTCACTTGCTCGGGAAAAAAAACTTCGTCTATTAACCGATATAGGTTACTGGCCGTCTTTACACCCGTGTCGAGGTTGGGAGACACTCTTCCCGCTTGCATTGGCCCTACTCGTCTACTCTGGATACTCATGGGGAAAGGCTCTTGCTCCTCTCTGTGAGAAACCAAGCTCCTTATCATCAGCCACATCTGTTGGGCTGCCCACTTTTCAACGACACGCAGAATTTACCTCGTCGTGTCGTCTCCCCCGCGTCTCTTTCACCCCCTTTCCTTCTCGTGAGGACCCACCTTTCCGGACTCCTCATGCTTTTTGACAAAGACTGACTTATTCCCAAAAATTTGATACTTTCAGCCCTTTTTTACTTGTTCTCTTTCACCCTTCCCCCACTTTCCCCTGCCCCGCGTTTTTTCTGTAAGGTCATCCCCCCCTCCCTTTGGCCATCCAATCCCTTGCTTTCCCTTTCCCCCCCCCTTTCGCGCTGAAACCCTTTGGGGGTTTTGCGCTTCTTTTGTTTTAATAAAAAATTATCAATCTGACCAGAAAAGGAAGATGGTTTAAATTTTTCCCGCGCAAGCCATGGGGAGAAAGCGGAGAAAAAGGGAAAATGTGCAAAAAAAATTCTTTTTTTAAAAAGGTACAACCAACCCCCTTTTCCAAACCCCAACCCACCACCCCACAACCGGGGGACCAAACCCAAACCAAACCCCCACCCCATCCGGGGCCCCCACGGAAAAAAAAAAAAGAACCCCCCAAAACAGCACCCAAAATTTCAATCAAAAAAAAATAAGTTCCTTTTCCCCCCTTTTTAAACCTTTTAACCCTTTTAAAAAAAACCCCCCAAAAATTTTTTTTTCTTTCCCCAAAAACCAAAATTTTCTCCAAAACTTTTTTCCTTTTCTTTCTTCCTCCTCCACCTTCCTTTTAAAAACACTTTTTTTTCCCCCCCTCCCCATCTCTTTCTTTCCTTAAATTTCTTTTCCCCCCTTTTTTCCCTTTTTCAAAAAATTTTTAAAAACCTTTATCCTCCTTTCCCTTTACTTCCTTTCCCCCTTACCTTTTAACCCCGATGGCTCCATCGTATCAGTCGAAAAAATGTTAAAATGAAATAAATTAACTTTGTAGTAAAAATAAAACTGTAACCAAAAGGTTATTAAAAATAAATGATAAAAATTAAATTTAAACCCTGACATTAATTTATGTCCGGGGAAATATAGTTGCAACCTTTTGACTTAATTTTACTCTAAAATTCTGCGTTCAAATCAAGGGAAACTATGCCCAAGTAAGAATTTTGTGGCTTTCAACAAAAAAAAAAATCCTGGGGACGATGCATAAAGAGAAAAAAAAAACTCCGACCGTTTTTTTTAATTAAAATGCCGACTTTGTGGTCTATTTTCGTATAGTATTTGTGGTTGTATTCTCGTTTTCTTGGTCTCATTTGATAGAATGGAAACTATATTATAGAAATGGAGGTGATTTTGATTAATTTTACTATAAAAAGAACCTGGAAATGGAGCACAAAGTACAGGAAATGTTTGATTTTTGCCGATGTTCAAAAGTGAACAAATGATGTCATTGTCCAATAAATGTCCAAATAGCCATTCTAATACGCAGTTATGAATGGGTTGATGTAATTTTTACAATTATTACAGTATTGCAGTAGTCTGCATAACAGTAAATCTTCTATTTTTTGTTTGAATAAAATTTCAAAATAAAAAGCAAGAGTAATATCACAGGGACCTGGAGACATGACTGATGAACAAAGAAAATGTTATTTTAGAGCCAGGAATGTCTGCATTGTTCATTCTGGACCTTATTTTGAAATTGTCGTATTTTTTAATTTTCGTGAAATTGGCCAAATTGCAAATTTCTGACCATGTTATTGGGTAGTTGAAATCGTAAATGGGCAGTTTCTTGTACTCAATCGATAGAAAAAATAGAGTTCTGAAGAAATAGTTATGAGTTTGGTTGACTGGAATAACGGAATTAGCCGAAAATAGGGCTCAAAGTGGGCGAAATTGCCGATTTTTAAATATCGCCGAAGTCGCTAACTTCGCGAGAGCGTAATTCCGTCAGTTTTCCATCAAATTTCGTTTTTTTGGTGTCTTTACAATCGGGAAAAGATTCTCTATCATTTCATAAGAAAAAATAATTTTTTTTTTTCGAATATTTTGCGACACCAGAAGCAACTTCAGGATTTGGCCCTTCGACAGTCAAAGGGTTAAGGAGGTTGAAATCTTTTCAAAATCTTTGGCGCACTTGGCTGCTTTCGCACCATCGTAAAGTCAAAATACCGTAAACTGAACCATTGTAAAGCAAGGGGCATCTTTACTTGTTATTTGTTTAAGAGTACCTGCTGCTGTGAGTGGAAGACGAGGTAGTGAAAAATGGTTCTGCAACTGTCGGTAAACATCACTGCAGTGTATGGTTCACTATTGCCTTCTCAATCTCACTGTTATTTAGCTTTATTTTAAATGTCACTAAACTGGTTTACAATATACTGATATTCATGATAAAAAATGACCAGAAGAAAGAGTTGGTTATGGTAAATCCAGTGAAAGTATTTTGAACATCCTGCAGTCTTCAATTTGTCTTGTAAATGAGAAACTAGACATCAGCCAGACGAAGTCTGATTGAATTTGGGATTTTTTTTTTTCCTTGGTTTTGCATGCTATATTGTATACTTTAAAGTGCTTATTACTACAGTATTTATAAATGGAAAATGAACAGGACTGAATGTAAAATGCGTATTGGGTAAATTTTCTTAGTAAAACAAATTAATGAAATATGGTATAGAATATTTAATCTCTGATAATAATGTTGATGTCTGTGGTAAAATAAGCTCCAAATTCCGAATAACCAACTTGCCGACAATTGTGAGGAATACATACATTAATACCAAATAGATCAGTTACTGCCTCTTTAAGGTCAAAGGAATGTCCTGTAAGGGCAAGAGACTAGGGAACATAAAAACTGTTGATCAAGACTGGATTTTGTCCAATTGCCTTTCAGGTTCATGTGATCCTTTTGGATTTAGAGCTTCCCAGCAATGCAGTAACAGATTAATTTGATCTGAAATTAGCTTTATTTACAGTACAAAGGGATTTTTTTTTTTTTTTCAAAATGATGAATTTGCACACTCAAGTTAAATGTAATTTTTTAGTAAATTGGAAGCTGCAAATCTCCCATAACTGGATGACTTACTTTGATTTGGTTAGCTGAATGCAGGTTAATGGGAGCTAAGTTAAGAGTTGAGACACTTTACAGTTTATTGCAGCTTGTACTTGGGATGAGTACTACTGGTAAATACATAAATAACCCACATACACAAGAAATGTGTGATTTGGTTAGACTTGGAGTATTAACTTGTCATATTAACTAGTAGCTAGTTAATAGTGCAGGTCAGACCGAAATGTCTTGAGTTATTTGTGTCTTGCGGGTTATTCGTGTATTGTTCCAGGCATGATATTGTGCCCTTCTGTTCTTTTCTAACATTAAAGCTCTGTGATAACAGATGAAGGAATATCAGAGCTGGAGACCTACGAACAGAAGGTGCGGGAGGCTATGGACCTGGCCTTGGAGAAGTCGGTACACACCCGCACCAATGCTTTGACATCCCTTACTACTGCTTTTCAGAAGAGGTTTGTCACTGTTTTCTCCTCTTCATTTTAACTTCTTGTATGATTAAAGTATTTAGTTGATGTTTACCTGGAGTATACCTGGAGGGAATTATGGGGGTCTGTGCCCCCATGGCCCGGCCCATGACCAGGTCTAGATACTAGTTAAAGTTAGGGTAACATTTCAGTAGTTTGGGTAAGATTAAGTTAAATTGTTAATTTTAGCAAGTTTACATTTGTATTGGTCCTGGAGGTGGGAAGTACAGTGCCTGTACCCTCATAGAGGGGTTGGGATGTTCGTAAATTTTCAACTGTAGTATCAGTGCACCTCTGGTAAGAGAGTGATGGAGTGAGTGTTGGTGAAAGTGTTTCTTCTGTTTTGGGTCACCCTACCTTGGTAGGAGATGGCCAGTAATCATGAAAAGTTTTCCAAATTTATTTTTTAGAAGAGATGGGATTCTTTGACAGACTATGCCTTAATTAACAGCACAGCATGTCCATTATAATAAGTTCAAAACCAATTTAGCACTATTAAATAAATAAATATTAAATTTGATTTGGTACTTTGCATGTAGATGTAATTTTCTACTTGGTCCAGAGTGTTGACACCATTCCTGCTGGATCACCACCAGACCATCTGTGACTTGGTTGAGCGATCACTCAGGAAAGGTCGAGGACCAGAGCAGGTGGCTGCTGCAAGACTAGCATCCCTTCTCATCCTCAGCTTGTCACAAGTAAACGAGGCAGAAGCGGTAAGACGTTCCCTACAAGACTAGGGTCGAATTTGTCTAGATAAGTGATATGTAACCTGTTCGGCAGTGTCACCCCTTAACACTTTCAGGGTCGACAGGCTCTCTCCCAGACTTGTTCTCAGGGTCGAAAAATATTGGGAAAAAAAAAATTATTTTTTCTTATGAAAAGATAGTGTTTTCTAAACTTTATAGGCTAAAAAAAATTTTTTGCCATCAATACTTACCGAGATATGGAGGCGTGAAGTTGACAGAAAGTGAACTGCATACAGCAACATCGCCGACTGCCGGTCACCCGGTAATCGTTTATTTTGTTTTTTCTGCTTTTTTCTATTATTTTTTTAATATTTTTTTTCTTTTCAAGTAACTTCTATGGCCTGTGAGACCAATATGAGCACTATTTTGTAAATTTTTACTCTTTCTGTACTACACAATAACTGCACAAACACACTTGTCATTATATTGTTTACAAAACTTGTTTACACAAATGAACAATATAAAATGTTTGTCACTATTTTTGTGTATTTTATATACACACATACAGTCACTGGACATGCTTCTAGAAGTTCTGCAGCCTGTGGAAGTCTTTGAAACATGGTGTCATGCACAGTGGTGTTTTACACTCCTCACACATAAAACGAGTATCTCTGTGTTGTGGGCATTTTTTTTGTATGTGCACAGACATAATACCTCTTCTGAGCCTTTTTCTTGAAAGCAGTAGCAGGCAGTTTAATTAGGAAGTGATCACCATGCCTCAGAGGAGAAGGTAGTTGTGGATAATTTAGTGGGCAGTTTTCTAATGCAGGTGTTGTTCCTTGGTACTTTAATACTATTTGTCTGATGACAGACAAACAAAATTTGCCATATGGTGGTTTGTTTCTGGTCCTCATCTTATACATATTATAAGCATTGAGCATGGAAATGTCCAGAATATGTAAAAAGAGTTTTATGTACCACTTATAACTCGTGCCAACACAATCAGCAAATCCAGTCTGCATGTCACATTTGCCCACTGAGTGCATATTGAGGGTGTAGTCCATCACAGCTGCAGGTTTCAGAATGGGTTCATTGGTCTCTCTATTCTGCCTGCCAGTGTTTGTCATTTCATTAGAGTGAACTGATGACAACAGTGTGACATCTCGTTTGTCATGCCACCAAAATGCCATGATGTCATTGGCAGCAAATTCCTGCACCTCACCTCTACGAGTGCCATCGTCAAACCTGGGCATATGCTTACGATTTCCATGCACTGTGCCACACACATCTGTCATGTTCACTTGCAAAATATCACTGAGTGAGGGGCTTGTGTACCAGTTGTCAGTATATAATATATGCCCCTTGCCAAGATATGGTTCCATCATTGTTCTAACCACATCACCGGAGATGCCCAGTAACTTCCTGGTGTTTTGCAATGTATTACTTTCAGTGTACACAATAATATCCAGTACAAGACCACTGTAGCAGCCACAAAGCACAAACAACTTATACCAAAGCGTTTCCTCTTGCTTGGTATGTACTACGTGAACGACAGTCTTCCTTTGAACAGAATCAAAGACTCCTCAATAACAAGCTTCCTGAGGGGATAAAATTACATACTGAATTTGTTTCAGATACACAAACACATTCCTAATCTTATATAACCTGTCATTTCTGTCAGGCCTGGTTTTGTCTGAGAAGTGAAGCATATGTAATAGTAGCACAAATCGATTCACTCGCATTATATCACTGAAACCTGGGGTTGCAATCGGGTGGTCTGTTGACCAGTATGATTTGACACTGTGCTTATACATGTGTGGCATAAGCATTATTGTGACAAAGAAAAGATACATCTCAGCCACAGTTGTCTCCTTCCACTGGTGTAGGCATGATTTTGGTGAAAGTATTGTTTGCCATGGTGTAATCGAAATACAGTGGTCCCTCGACCAACGATGGCATCGCATAATGTTAAATCCGACTAGCGGTACATTTTAATGCAAAAATTTTGCCTCGACTAGCGCTAAAAAACTCGACCAACGCGATTCGTTCCGTTCGAGACTCGTCCACATGTGGCCTGAGCGCGCCTCACTTGTCACATGGGTGCCAGTGTTTACAAGCCAGCCACCGCTGTCACATCCAAACATACAATCGGAACATTTTGTATTATCACAGCGTTTTTAGTGATTGCACCTGCAAAATAAGTCACCATGGGCCCCAAGAAAGCTTCTAGTGCCAACCCTACCGCAAAAAGGGTGAGAATCACTATGGATATGAAGAAAGAGATCATTGCTAAGTATGAAAGTGGAGTGCGTGTCTCCGAGCTGGCCAGGTTGTACACAAAACCCCAATCAACCATCGCTACTATTGTGGCCAAGAAAACGGCAATCAAGGAAGCTGTTCTTGCCAAAGGTGCAACTATGTTTTCGAAAGACAGGCTTACTCTGTTAATGTGTGCCAGTGCTAGTGGTGATTGCAAAGTGAAGCCTTTATTGGTGTATCACTCTGAAACTCCCAGAGCGTTCAGGCAAAAGAATGTCCTCAAGGCTAATTTGTGTGTGCTGTGGAGGGCAAACAGTAAGGCATGGGTCACTAGGGACTTTTTCTATGACTGGTTACACCATGCATTTGCCCCCACTGTGAAAAATTACCTCCTGGAAAATAAATTGGACCTTAAGTGCCTCCTGGTATTAGACAATGCTCCTGGTCATCCTTCAGACTTGGCAGAGCGACTTTCTGGGGACACAAGCTTCATCAAGGTCAAGTTTTTGCCTCCTAATACCACTCCTCTCTTGCAGCCCATGGACCAGCAGGTCATTGCAAACTTCAAAAAACTCGACACAAAAGCTATGTTTGAAAGGTGCTTTGTAGTGACCTCAGAAACTCGATTGACTAAGAGTTTTGGAAAGATCACTTTAGCATCCTCAATTGTGTAAACATTATAGGTAAGGCTTGGGAGGAAGTGACTAAGAGGACCTTGAACTCTGCTTGGAAGAAACTGTGGCCAGAATGTGTAGACAAAAGGGATTTTGAAGGATTTGAGGCTAACCCTGGGAATCTTATGCCAGTTGTGGAATCAATTGTGGCATTGGGGAAGTCCTTGGGGTTGGAGGTTAGTGGGGAGGATGTGGAAGAGATGGTGGAGGAGGACAGTGAAGAACTAACCACTGATGATCTTCAACAGCAAGAGGCCAGACCTGAGGAAACTGCTCCGGAGGAATAACTAAGTTTATTCAGGTATACACAAATACAGTTACATAGAATTATCATACATAGCAGCATATGTGTAGAGAACCTAGGATAACCCAAAAAAATCAGACAGAGTGACTTATTTCCATTGGGGATAGAGAAATTGAAGTTGTCTACTTCAAAGATTAGATTAAGGAAATGTGTACAATGTGGCTTAAAGTGCAAACCTTTTTTGATGAAAATGACCCTCGCACAGCTATTGCAAGCCGTGCTGGTGACTGTTACACTGACAATGTTGTGAAACACTTTAGGACTGCCATAAAAGAACGGGAGGTACAGGCCTCTATTGACAGGTATGTTGTGCTACAGAAGTCCACTGACTCTCAAGCTGGTCCTAGTAGCATTAAAAGAAGGGAAGTAACCACGGAAAAGGACTTGCCACCTCAAGTCCTAATGGAAGGGGATTCCCCTTCTAAACACAAACACCATCAACACTCCCCTCCTCCCATCCCATCAATCATCACCAGATCTTCAATAAAGGTAAGTGTCATGTAATTTTGCATGTCTTCTTTATTTTGTGTGTATTAAAATTAATATTTCATGTGATAAATTCTTTTTTCAATACTTTGGGGTGTCAGGATCGGATTAATTTGATTTCCATTATTTCTTATGGGGAAAATTAACTCGACTAACAATTATTTCGACTAACGATGAGCTCTCAGGAACGGGTTAATACCGTTGGTCGAGGGTCCACTGTATCTGTTGCTTTTCCTGACATTTTCCATCAGGGGTTCGTCAAAGAATAACTCGAAACATTCTAATTCAGTGGCATTGTTCCCAAGTGTACAAGATGGCCGTATTCCACTTTGACTTTCATCAAAGTGATGGGGATTGGGAACAAAATTGTCAGCTTCCTGCCAATCCCAGGTGCGGTCTGCTGGTGGGTACTGGATATTGACAGGTGGTTGTGGTTGTGGAGGCTGGTGTGGTGGGTGGGTGGGGGATGGTGGCCTTTGTTGTAGTTCAGCTGAGGCAGCGGCATGGGTGGCAGCATGGCTCGCTGCTGGTGCCTCACGGCTGGCACCACCACTACCACCACCAGATGCATGCACATTTTCCATCCCAGTTGCAACACTATCATCTTCATTTTCACTATCTGTTCCTGTTGTACAGCCACGGGATGTACTCCGAGATGTACTCCTTCCCCTTGGAATAGCATATGGCACACTACCAGAGCGCATATACCGTCGTATATACTGACGCTTCACTGGAGAATATTCTACTTCACTATCACTACTGGAACTGTTTTCAAGAGCTTGTAGTTCATATTCACTATCACTATCATCACCATTGCTAACATCTAAGTCCTGGATATGGAAAAATACGAGTTTCCTCTTTCGTTCTGGTACAACTGAACGTGAACAAAATGGCCCAGCACCAGAGGAGGAAGGTTGAGGGTCATCTGGATTTTCCTCACTATTACAGCTATTATGGTCATTAGTTTCAGTCACAACCTCATCAAAACCTTGAAACTCATCTTCACTGGCATTACCATCTGTATTAGACCAGTCACTGAGGAACAAAAGTGTCCCAATTTTCCGAGGAGTGAGGAGTTTCTTACCGCGAGGCATTGTGAACAAGGTGTACTAGAATGGCGTTCCCACAACGCACCACTGGGTGTCCAAATTTTTTCCTACAATGCACACTGACCACGCAGACCCATTCTCTCGCATCTAGGCCTACCAGCCTTTTCCCGCTTGATATGAAGGCGCTAGAATTTATGCGTACTAGTACGTTGATAACCCTGGCGTGTAAGCCGTACTAGTACGTCTGAAACCCTGAAAGGGGTAAACCTGGAGTATACCTGGAGGGTGTTCCAGGGATCAATGCCCCCGCAGCCCGGTCCATGACCAGACCTTGTGGTGGATCAGTGCTTGATCAACCAGGCTGTTACTGCCAGTTGCATGTAGTCAAACATAAACCACTGCCCCTTGGGTAGCTAACAAAATCATAATTACCCCTTCCCCTTTCCCTTCATAACACACACAATAATATACTGTAACAATCAGGGCCACCACTTAGTTAACCTCCAAGAAAGGTGACAGTATCCCCACATTCCTGTAAGTATACCTGGAGGGTGTCCTGGGGGCCAGTGCCCCCACAGCTCAGTCCATGACCTGGGTAATTAACCCATGGTAAATAGCAGTGATATTGATTCTTGTGGACGGTAATAGTCTTAGTGAGATCTTTAATAAATGTGTACCATAAATGTATGTCATTTTTTCTTTCAAACTAAAAGTCAAAACTGAAATCTGTATGATACCTAGAATCAGCTTAATTGTTGATTTGATGAATTTCAAAAAAACAAAATGAACTATTGAGATAATAATTTTTGCAAGTTGGCCTAATATGTGCTTGGAAATGATGCTTTTATGAATACAGTATTTATAATGTAAATTAAAAAGCAGTTTTATTGCATCACTTCATTATACTATACAGGTGCTCCTTGACTTAGTGAGGTTACGTTCCGACGACCCCATCAGAAGCAGGAAATGTTGCAAGTCAGATGTGAATATATTCTAAACACCATATTTCGCTGCTTTTAAGACTTTTTTAGTTTCACTGGCTATCATTGGACATAACTGAGACAGCTACAGCCCACCCCACACCCCAAGCTTATAGCTCCCGTCACTGACCTTCAGTTTATAGGACGCAGGTTGGTGTTTGGAGACATTTTATGGAAAAAAATGTGTCTAATAAGCTGCAAAATACAGTCAGTAAGTAATTGTCACTGAATAAGGAAATAAACAAGTAATTGCTGTAACTAAATACCAGCATTGAAAGTAAATACGTAAATGAATACAAGTTGCAATCACCATAGGGAAGTGGAACAGAATTCGTCCTCCATAAGCCATGCGTGTCATAAGAGGTGACTAAAATGCCAGGAGCAAGGGGCTAGTAACCCCTTCTCCTGTATACTCTACCCTGCCTCGGTGGGATATGGCCAGTTTGTTGAAAAAAAAAAAATTCGACTTGCTGCCTTCATGCTGGGTAATTATCTCGAGTTTCATCTTCAAAGTAATGGCTTTTGCACCATCATAATGTTGAACTATCTCAGGTCGAGGAGCACCTGTATATCAAAGTTAATACAGTAGTGTAATACTGTATTGGGTTACAGGTGTACAAGATGCTGGAGCCTGTGCTGACTGTAGCTTTGACCGACCCATCCGGTCCACTAGCTGGGCGGCAAGAGTGTGCATACACTTTAGCATTATCTGCTTTCTTGGCCTGTCATGATTTAGCTGATGTGACTTCTGCCATGAATACACTCCATTCAGTTTTTAGTGGCTCTTTGCCAAAGGTATTAAATGTGTTGTCTTTGTATAACTTATCAGACACCAAATTTAACTGGCTTCAGAATAAAGTCCTCTTAATTTTTAGGGTTATGTATATACTTTTGATAACATGTTGCATAATAAATGTACAAAAAACACATGCAAACATTTTGTTAAAATTAAATATAAATTCTGTATTAAATGACCACTGTTTTCTTTAGGGTAATGGGGAATTGCCTAATCATCCACCTGCAGTAACGGCTCTACATACAGCAGCTCTCAATGGCTTTTGTCTTCTTTTGTGTCTCATCTCTCCCACCTCCATCTACACCATGGCCAACAAGTACGTTTTATCTTGGTAATCATTCATCCCATCACTTGCAAGAGAGAACGGGTAAGTACTTAACTTCCTATTTGTACACGTATGTTTGTGGTTGCAGGGGTCGATTTTCAGATAGTGGCCCTGCCTCCTTACTTGCCACTCTTCAAATTCACTTCCTCTTAGCCTCGTGGTCCCCATCATACCTACTCTTAAGACTGTGTGGAGCCTTCCTCTACCACTACCTGACCAGCATCATTTCACTTCCTGACCACTCTGAGACTGAAGAAATGCAAACATTCCTCTGGCTTATTTGTGACTCAACTTTCAGTGGTGTCCCCAAGTTCACATTTAAATACTTTTATATTCTTCTTTCTATATATATATATATATATATATATATATATATATATATATATATATATATATATATATATATATATATATATATATATATATATATATATATATATATATATATATATATATATATATATATATATATATATATATATATATATATATATATATATAAAATATATATATATATATATATATATATATATATATATATATATATATATATATATATATATATATATATATATATATATATATATATATATATATATATATATATATATATATATATATATATATATATATATATTATATATATATATATATATATACACACACACACACACATACACACACACAGTGGACCCCCGCTTAACGATCACCTCCAAATGCGACCAATTATGTAAGTATATTTATGTAAGTGCATTTGTACGTGTATGTTTGGGGGTCTGAAATGGACTAATCTACTTCACAATATTCCTTATGGGAAAAAATTCGGTCAGTACTGGCACCTGAACATACTACTGGAATGAAAATAGTTCGTTAACCGGGGGTCGACTGTATATACATTCCTTACTTCGAATGATAAAAATAAGGAAAGGGAGTGAGGAAGGGAGGTATAGTCCCTTCCTCTCTCTTTTCTTGTTTCTTTCCTCGAAGATGAGAAAAAATGATAAAAAATTATGTAAATATTACTGACAGTTTCCACCCAGCCTCATACATATAGTTATTTAGGCATAAAATATGAATATAATCGAACTAATGCATGATGTACATACAGTTTCACATAGGAAGAAGCAGAGGAAATTATACATTTACTGGCCACTTAATTAGGTACACTCTTCTAGTACTGTGTAGTGCAACTCCTTTGCTCCCAGAACAACCTAAATTCTTTGTGACAGAGATTTAACAAGGTGTTTGAAACATTCCTTAGAGATTCTTGTCCATGCTGACATGATAGCATCATGCGGTGATGCAGGGAAGGGAAGTTCCAGTTCTTGGGATCAAGGGCCTCTCCAATGTTCTCAAGGCATTTCCCCCAAGCCCCCCCCCCCCACTTCTTGAAGGGATGAACCATGGAGAATCTTATGCAGATACAACAGTTAGTAAGCAATAATAAATTCGTGATTATGTTTAACTTTGAGACACTTGAGTTAAGAGTAACATTTACTCATACAACCTAGGTTAATAAGGCACATGTTGAATGTTTTTTAATATTTTATGCTCCATATTTCATCTTTTGATGTTTGGTTACTGTTCTTGTGGATGCGATGCAAGGGCAAGATGCCAACAGGATGGAATAAAATACATGAATAAGCTTTTATTGTGGTGTTTTTACTTTGTGAGAAGACTATACAGGTGCTGCTTGACTTGCAATGGGGTTATGTTCCGACCAACCCAACATAAATAAAAAATGTCGTAAGTTCAACATGAATGTGATTTTTTTTTTTTTTTAACAAGTCGGCCATCTCCCACCGAGGCAGGGTGACTCAAAACGAAAGAAAATACTTTCATCATCATTCAACACTCACCTCACTCACACATGATCACTGTTTTTGCAGAGGTGCTCAGAACACAACAGTTTAGAAGCATATACGTATAAAGATACACATATCCCTCCAAACTGCTAATATCCCGAACCCCTCCTTTAGAGTGCAGGCATTGTACTTCCCATTTCCAGGACTCAAGTCCAGCTATACAAAAATATGATCTTTCTTTCAACACACATAGTCCTTGTGGCTTAGCGCTTCTTTTTGATTATAATAATAATTTCTTTCAACACACCAGCCGTATCCCACTGAGGCGGGGTGGCCCAAAAGAAAAAACGAAAGTGTCTCCTTTTACATTTAGTAACATATACAGGAGAAGAGGTTACTAGCCCCTTGCTCCCGGCATTTTAGTCGCCTCTTACAACACGCATGGCTTATGGAGGAAGAATTCTGTTCCACTTCCCCATGGAGACAAAAATATGATTATTTTTTTTTTTTTTCAACAAGTCGGCCATCTCCCACCAAGGCAGGGTGACCCAAAAAAGAAAGAAAATCCCCAAAAAGAAAATACTTTCATCATCATTCAACACTTTCACCACACTCACAAATTATCACTGTTTTTGCAGAGGTGCTCAGAATACAACAGTTTAGAAGCATATACGTATAAAGATACACAACATATCCCTCCAAACTGCCAATATCCCAAACCCCTCCTTTAAAGTGCAGGCATTGTACTTCCCATTTCCAGGACTCAAGTCCTACTATATGAAAATAACCGGTTTCCCTGAATCCCTTCACTAAATATTACCCTGCTCACACTCCAACAGATCGTCAGGTCCCAAGTATCATTCGTCTCCATTCACTCCTATCTAACACGCTCATGCACGCTTGCTGGAAGTCCAAGCCCCTTGCCCACAAAACTTCCTTTACCCACTCTTTCCAACCCTTTCGAGGACGACCCCTACCCCTCTTTCCTTCCCCTATAGATTTATGTGCTTTCCATGTCATTCTACTTTGATCCATTCTCTCTAAATGACCAAACCACCTCAACAACCCCTCTTCTGCCCTCTGACTAATGCTTTTATTAACTCCACCCCTTCTCCTAATTTCCACACTCCGAATTTTCTGCATAATATTTACACCACACATTGCCCTTAGACAGGACATCTCCACTGCCTCCAACCGTCTCCTCGCTGCTGCATTTACCACCCAAGCTTCACACCCATATAAGAGTGTTGATACTTTCATACATTCCCTTCTTTGCCTCCATAGATAACGTTTTTTGACTCCACATATACCTCAATGCACCACTCACCTTTTTTCCCTCATCAATTCTATGATTAACCTCATCCTTCATAAATCCATCTGCCGACACTTCAACTCCCAAGTATCTGAAAACATTCTCTTCTTCCATACTCTCCTCCCCAATTTGATATCCAATTTTTCTTTATCTGAATCATTTGATACCCTCATCACCTTACTCTTTTCTATGTTCACTTTCAACTTTCTACCTTTACACACATTCTCAAACTCATCCACTAACCTTTGCAATTTTTCTTTAGAATCTCCCATAAGCACAGTATCATCAGCAAAAAGTAACTGTGTCAATTCCCATTTTGAATTTGATTCCCCATAATTTAATCCCACCCCTTCTCCCGAACACCCTAGCATTTACTTCTTTTACAACCCCATCTATAAATATATTAAACAACCATGGTGACATTACACATCCCTGTCTAAGACCTACTTTTACCGGGAAGTATTCCCCCTCTCTTCTACACACTCTAACCTGAGCCTCACTATCCTCATTTACAGCATTTAGTAACTTACCACCTATTCCATATACTTGCAACATCTGCCACATTGCTCCTCTATCCACTCTATCATATTTATTTTTTTATTATTATCACACTGGCCGATTCCCACCAAGGCAGGGTGGCCCGAAAAAGAAAAACTTTCACCATCATTCACTCCATCACTGTCTTGCCAGAAGGGTGCTTTACACTACAGTTTTTAAACTGCAACATTAACACCCCTCCTTCAGAGTGCAGGCACTGTACTTCCCATCTCCAGGACTCAAGTCCGGCCTGCCGGTTTCCCTGAATCCCTTCATAAATGTTACTTTGCTCACACTCCAACAGCACGTCAAGTATTAAAAACCATTTGTCTCCATTCACTCCTATCAAACACGCTCACGCATGCCTGCTGGAAGTCCAAGCCCTCGCACACAAAACCTCCTTTACCCCCTCCCTCCAACCCTTCCTAGGCCGACCCCTACCCCGCCTTCCTTCCACTACAGACTGATACACTCTTGAAGTTATTCTGTTTCGCTCCATTCTCTCTACATGTCCGAACCACCTCAACAACCCTTCCTCAGCCCTCTGGACAACAGTTTTGGTAATCCCGCACCTCCTCCTAACTTCCAAAACTACGAATTCTCTGCATTATATTCACACCACACATTGCCCTCAGACATGACATCTCCACTGCCTCCAGCCTTCTCCTCGCTGCAACATTCATCACCCATGCTTCACACCCATATAAGAGCGTTGGTAAAACTATACTCTCATACATTCCCCTCTTTGCCTCCAAGGACAAAGTTCTCTGTCTCCACAGACTCCTAAGTGCACCACTCACTCTTTTTCCCTCATCAATTCTATGATTCACCTCATCTTTCATAGACCCATCCGCTGACACGTCCACTCCCAAATATCTGAATACGTTCACCTCCTCCATACTCTCTCCCTCCAATCTGATATTCAATCTTTCATCACCTAATCTTTTTGTTATCCTCATAACCTTACTCTTTCCTGTATTCACCTTTAATTTTCTTCTTTTGCACACCCTACCAAATTCATCCACCAATCTCTGCAGCTTCTCTTCAGAATCTCCCAAGAGCACAGTGTCATCAGCAAAGAGCAGCTGTGACAACTCCCACCCTGTGTGTGATTCTTTATCTTTTAACTCCACGCCTCTTGCCAAGACCCTCGCATTTACTTCTCTTACAACCCCATCTATAAATATATTAAACAACCACGGTGACATCACACATCCTTGTCTAAGGCCTACTTTTACTGGGAAAAAATTTCCCTCTTTTCTACATACTCTAACTTGAGCCTCACTATCCTCGTAAAAACTCTTCACTGCTTTCAGTAACCTACCTCCTACACCATACACTTGCAACATCTGCCACATTGCCCCCCTATCCACCCTGTCATAGCCTTTTCCAAATCCATAAATGCCACAAAGACCTCTTTAGCCTTATCTAAATACTGTTCACTTATATGTTTCACTGTAAACACCTGGTCCACACACCCCCTACCTTTCCTAAAGCCTCCTTGTTCATCTGCTATCCTATTCTCCGTCTTACTCTTAATTCTTTCAATTATAACTCTACCATACACTTTACCAGGTACACTCAACAGACTTATCCCCCTATAATTTTTGCACTCTCTTTTATCCCCTTTGCCTTTATACAAAGGAACTATGCATGCTCTCTGCCAATCCCTAGGTACCTTACCCTCTTCCATACATTTATTAAATAATTGCACCAACCACTCCAAAACTATATCCCCACCTGCTTTTAACATTTCTATCTTTATCCCATCAATCCCGGCTGCCTTACCCCCTTTCATTTTACCTACTGCCTCACGAACTTCCCCCACACTCACAACTGGCTCTTCCTCACTCCTACAAGATGTTATTCCTCCTTGCCCTATACACGAAATCACAGCTTCCCTATCTTCATCAACATTTAACAATTCCTCAAAATATTCCCTCCATCTTCCCAATACCTCTAACTCTCCATTTAATAACTCTCCTCTCCTATTTTTAACTGACAAATCCATTTGTTCTCTAGGCTTCCTTAACTTGTTAATCTCACTCCAAAACTTTTTCTTATTTTCAACAAAATTTGTTGATAACAGCTCACCCACTCTCTCATTTGCTCTCTTTTTACATTGCTTCACCACTCTCTTAACCTCTCTCTTTTTCTCCATATACTCTTCCCTCCTTGCATCACTTCTACTTTGTAAAAACTTCTCATATGCTAACTTTTTCTCCCTTACTACTCTCTTTACATCATCATTCCACCAATCGCTCCTCTTCCCTCCTGCACCCACTTTCCTGTAACCACAAACTTCTGCTGAACACTCTAACACTACATTTTTAAACCTACCCCATTCCTCTTCGACCCCATTGTCTATGCTCTCATTAGCCCATCTATCCTCCAATAGCTGTTTATATCTTACCCTAACTGCCTCCTCTTTTAGTTTATAAACCTTCACCTCTCTCTTCCCTGATGCTTCTATTCTCCTTGTATCCCATCTACCTTTTACTCTCAGTGTAGCTACAACTAGAAAGTGATCTGATATATCTGTGGCCCCTCGATAAACATGTACATCCTGAAGTCTACTCAACAGTCTTTTATCTACTAATACATAATCCAACAAACTACTGTCATTTCGCCCTACATCATATCGTGTATACTTATTTATCCTCTTTTTCTTAAAATATGTATTACCTATAACTAAACCCCTTTCTATACAAAGTTCAATCAAAGGGCTCCCATTATCATTTACACCTGGCACCCCAAACTTACCTACCACACCCTCTCTAAAAGTTTCTCCTACTTTAGCATTCAGGTCCCCTACCACAATTACTCTCTCACTTGGTTCAAAGGCTCCTATACATTCACTTAACATCTCCCAAAATCTCTCTCTCTCCCTTGCATTCCTCTCTTCTCCAGGTGCATACACGCTTATTATGACCCACTTCTCGCATCCAACCTTTACTTTAATCCACATAATTCTCGAATTTACACATTATATTCTCTTTTCTCCTTCCATAACTGATCATTTAACATTACTGCTACCCCTTCCTTTGCTCTAACTCTCTCAGATACTCCAGATTTAATCCCATTTATTTCCCCCCACTGAAACTCTCCTACCCCCTTCAGCTTTGTTTCGCTTAGAGCCAGGACATCCAACTTCTTTTCATTCATAACATCAGCAATCATCTGTTTCTTGTCATCCGCACTACATCCACGCACATTTTAAACAACCCAGTTTTATAAAGTTTTTCTTCTTCTCTTTTTTAGTAAATGTATACAGGAGAAGGGGTTACTAGCCCATTGCTCCCGGCATTTTAGTCGCCTCATACGACACGCATGGCTTACGGAGGAAAGATTCTTTTCCACTTCCCCATGGACAATAGAAGAAATAAAAAAAGAACAAGAGCTATTTAGAATAAGGAGAAAAACCTAGATGTATGTATATATATATATGCATGTGCGTGTCTGTGAAGTGTGACCAAAGTGTAAGTAGGAGTAGCAAGATATCCCTGTTATCTAGCGTGTTTATGAGACAGAAAAAGAAAACCAGCAATCCTACCATCATGCAAAACAGTTACAGGTTTTTGTTTCACAGTCATCTGGCAGGACGGTAGTACTTCCCTGGGTGGTTGCTGTCTACCAACCTACTACCTACTGCCTTTTCTAAATCCATAAATGCAATAAAAACTTCCCTACCTTTATCTAAATACTGTTCACATATATGCTTCAATGTAAACACTTGATCTACACATCCCCTACCCACTCTGAAGCCTCCTTGCTCATCCGCAATCCTACATTCTGTCTTACCTCTAATTCTTTCAATTATAACCCTACCGTATACTTTTCCTGGTATACTCTGTAAACTTATTCCTCTATAATTTTTACAATCTCTTTTGTCCCCCTTCCCTTTATATAAAGGGACTATACATGCTCTCCGCCAATCCCTAGGTACCTTCCCCTCTTTCATACATTTATTAAACAAAAGTACCAACCACTCCAACACTATATCCCCCCCTACTTTTAACATTTCTGTCATGATCCCATCAGTTCCAGCATGCTTTACCCCCTTTCATTCTACGTAATGCCTCACGTACCTCCACCACACTTACATTCTGCTCTTCTTCACTCCTAAAAGATGGTATACCTCCCTGGCCAGTGCATGAAATTACTGCCTCCCTTTCTTCCTCAACATTTAAAAGTTCCTCAAAATATTCTCGCCATCTACCTAATACCTCCCTCTCACCATCTACTAAGTCCCCTACTCTGTTTTTAACTGACAAATCCATACTTTCCCTAGGCTTTCTTAACTTGTTTAACTCACTCCAAAATTTTTTCTTATTTTCATTAAAATTTCTTGACAGTGCCTCTCCAACTCTTTCATCTGCTCTCCTTTTGCACTCTCTCACCACTCTCTTCACCTTTTTTTTACTCTCCATATACTCTGCTCTTCTTATAACACTTCTGCTTTGTAAAAACCTCTCTTAAGCTACCTTTTTCTCTTTTATCACACCCTTTACTTCATCATTCCACCAATCACTCCTCTTTCCTCCTGCCCCCACCCTCCTATAACCACAAACTTCTGCCCCACATTCTAATACTGCAATTTTAAAACTATTCCAACCCTCTTCAACCCCCCCCACTACTCATCTTTGCACTAGCCCACCTTTCTGCCAATAGTCGCTTATATCTCACCCGAACTTCCTCCTCCCTTAGTTTATACACTTTCACCTCCCTCTTACTTGTTGTTGCCACCTTCCTCTTTTCCCATCTACCTCTTACTCTAACTGTAGCTACAACTAAATAATGATCCGATATATCAGTTGCCCCTCTATAAACATGTACATCCTGGAGCCTACCCATCAACCTTTTATCCACCAATACATAATCTAACAAACTACTTTCATTACGTGCTACATCATACCTTGTATATTTATTTATCCTCTTTTTCATAAAATATGTATTACTTATTACCAAATTTCTTTCTACACATAGCTCAATTAAAGGCTCCTCATTTACATTTTCCTAAATAAATAAATACTGTTACTGAATAATTAAACAAATAATTACAGTAACTAAATACCAGTATTGAAAAGTAAATAAATGATTAAAAGCTATGGAGGTTATGGCCTTCATGCTGGGTAATTATCAAGTTTCATCTCCACATAGTCCATCATAGTCAAAATATTGTACGGCGAACCATTGCAAGTTAAGGAACACCTGTATATATCTTTTCACAAAGGAAAGCTGTTGCAATATAAGCTTGCTTGGTGCGTGTTTTTTTCCCTCCGCACTTGCCTTACTTGCAAGTAAAACTCGTTCATTTGTAAGCGTTAAAGTAGTGTTTGCTCTGCATTAGTTTATAAATAAATGGGGGGAATTTATAAATGTGGAGTTCATAAGAAATCTTCCAACAGATTACTGAGAGAGATGTTTGATCTTCTGGGCTGCAGCGATGTTGAGCTTCGTATTCAAGCTGGAGAAGGAGTGGCTCTCCTGTACGAGGGTGCTCGCACCCACGATGATGATTACTTTTGGAATAGGGAAGGAGAACTCTGCTCTGCGTTGAAAGGTCAGTGAGGCCATCCTTCCCTCCAGTGCTGACTATTCTTCTGTAAAGTAAGCTCTTACAGAGAATTTTTATTAAATTGTGATTAAAAAGTACATTACACAAATAACCCGCACGTAGGAGAGCAAAGCTTATGACAATGTTTCGATCCGACTTGGACCATTTACAAGTCACACTAACTTGTAAAGGGTCCAAGTAAGACCAAAGTGTCATCATAAGGTTCTCTCCTGTGTGTGGGTTTTTATATTGTTCCAGTCATGGTAGTGTGCCTTTTTGTTCTTTAAAAAAAGTATATCTAGAATTGAATAACACATTCAGTGGAGGCCTTTTCACCTGCTATTAAATTTTTGGCCGGATTTTCAATCACATTTACCAAAAATCACTACATAGAGCTTTATAAGAACCTACTATAGTTTTGTGCAACATTTCTGCAACCTTTCTAGTGTCTTGCACCATGGAAGCCCAGCCTGAACCCAGGCTTCACTGTTGATTGCCTGTTCAACCAGGCTGTTACTGTTAGCAGCCTGCTAGGCCATATATCCATCACAACCTGGTTAATTTGGCACTTTGCAGAGGTAGTGAAAAGTAATGTTGATCTCATTTTCTTGCTCCCTTATTTTTGATCAACCTGTACCATTCTGCAAACCTAATTAACATCGTACCCTTGAAGTTATATTATTATTAAATTATTTTGAAGGAGGGATGTTAATGTTGCAGTTTAAAAACTGTAGTGTAAAGCACCCTTCTGGCAAGACGGTGATGGAGTGAATGATGGTGAAAGTTTTTCTTTTTCGGGCCACCCTGCCTTGGTGGGAATCGGCCAGTGTTAATAAAAAAAAAAAAATATTTTGATAAAGTTTGTGTTGAGATTTTATAATTGTTACAGTGATGTACGGAAGGGTGGTGGAGTGGCGATGTATGTCAGAGAAAAATTTAAATTGTTGTCTTAGACATGATATAAGATTAGAAACATCGAACACAGAATCTGTTTGGCTACAGTTTCTCGAGGGATGTGACAGATTAATTTTGGGTGTGATTTATAGACCCCCAAACCTTGATAGCGAGTGCAGTAAGCTGTTATGGGATGAAATTCATAAGACATCTAGATATGAAAATGTTGTGATAATGGGAGATTTTAACTTTAGACAAATTGATTGGAACAGTATGACAGGAAATCTTGAGTTGAGTGACTTTCTTGATACAGTTCAAGATTGCTTTGTAGAACAGGCTGTGACAGAACCAACTAGAGGAAACAATCTGCTTGACTTGGTTCTTGCCAACAAAGATTCACTAATTAATAATCTTGAGGTTAATGATGAGTTTGGGGAAAGTAATCACAAATCACTTGGTTTCAATATATCATGGAATTACCCAGATAACTGCAATCAAATCTCTATCCCAGATTTTCGCTTGGCCGACTTCATGGGACTGAAAAATTACCTGGGTGGGCTAAATTGGGATGTCCTAACTATGGGTCAGGTAGGTGATCTTGGTTGCCAATATGACGTTTTTCAGAGCATAGTTCTAGCTGCCCAGCCAACTTTTGTTCCGAGTAGGGAAATTAGATCTAACAAAAATGGTCCCAAATGGATGAACAATAGATTAAAACATCTCATTGGTCAAAAGAGAGGCATATATAGGGGTATCAAAAGAGGGGATGGGCAGTTAAGAAATCAATATATACAATTAAAGAGATAAAAAAAAAAGGAATAAGAAAAGCAAAAAGGGATTATGAGGCTAAGGTCGCAAGGGATTCAAAGACTAACCCAAAAGGGTTCTTTCAGGTATACAGAAGTAAGATTAGGTCAGATCACTGACAGTGACAAGGATATGTGTGAAATTCTCAGTACCTACTTCCTCTCAGTTTTCACCCAGGAAAATACTAGCAATATTCCTGAAATAATAGATTATGTAGAACAGGATGATGATAAACTATGTACGATTGCTGTAACTAGTGACATGGTCCTCAGACAAATAGAGAAACTAAAACCTAACAAATTGCCAGGCCCTGATGAACTGTTTGCAAGGGTGTTAAAGGAATGTAAAGAGGAACTTAGCATACCTTTGGCTAATCTTTTAACATATCACTACAAACTGGCATAGTGCCTGATAAGTGGAAAATGGCAAATGTAATACCTATTTACAAGGCAGGTGACAGGTCCTTGGCTTCGAACTATAGACCAATAAGCCTTACCTCCATAGTGGGAAAATTTATGGAATCAATAATTGCCGAAGCAATTCATAGCCATCTTGATAGGCACAGATTGATTAATGAATCTCAACACGGTTTTACAAAGGGGCGTTCCTGTCTTACGAATTTACTAACTTTTTTCACTAAGGTGTTTGAGGAGTTAGATCATGGTAATGAATATAACATTGTGTATCTGGACTTCAGTAAGACTTTCGATAGTTCCACACCAGAGGCTATTGAGGAAACTTAAGGCACACGGAATAGGAGGAGAAATTTTTTCCTGGGTAGAGGCATGGCTGACAAATTGGCAGCAGAGAGTTTGCATAAATGGGGAGAAATCACATTGGGGGCACGTCACAAGCAGTATTCCTCAGGGGTCGGTGTTGGACCCATTGTTGTTCCCAATTTACATAAATGACTTCGATGAGGGAATAAATAGTGACATGAGCAAATTTGCTGATGACACCAAAATAGGCCGTCCAATTCATTCTAATGAGGACACTAGAGCACTCCAGGATGATTTGAAAAGACTGATGCAATGGTCGGAGAAGTGGCAGATGCAGTTTAATATTGACAAATGCAAAGTTCTAAAGGTTGGACAGTTAAATAACCATGCCACACATAAACTAAATAATGTAGATCTTAATACTACTGATTTGCGAAAAGGATTTAGGAGTTCTGGTTAGCAGTAATCTAAAACCAAGACAACAGTGCATTAGTGTTCGCAATAAAGCTAACAGAACTCTTGGCTTCATATCTAGAAGTATAAATAATAGAAGTCCTCAGGTTGTTCTTCAACTCTATATATCCTTGGTTAGGCCTCATTTAGACTATGCTGCTCAGTTCTGGTCACCGTATTACAGAATGGATATAAATGCTCTGGAAAACGTACAGAGGAGGATGACAAAGATGATCCCATGTATTAGAAATCTTCCCTATGAGGATAGACTGAGGGCCCTGAATCTGCACTCTCTCGATAGGCATAGAATTAGGGGGGGATATGATCGAGGTGTATAAATGGAAAACAGGAATAAATAAAGGGGATGTAAATAGAGTGCTGAAAACTTCCAGCCAAGACAGGACTCGCAGCAATGGTTTCAAGTTGGAAAAATTCAGATTCAGGAAGGATATAGGAAAGCATTGGTTTGGTAATGGTCGTGGACGAGTGGAACAAACTCCCGAGTACAGTTATTCAGGCTAAAACGTTGTGTAGTTTTAAAATTGTGTTAGATAAATACATGAGTAGGTGTGGGTGGGTGTGAGTTGGACCTGATTAGCTTGTGCTGCTGGGTCTGGTGCCATGCTCCATCCTTGAGTGGAGGTGACCAGACTGGGTGGGTCATTGGGCTAATCCAGGGGGGGGGACATGGACCTGCTCTGCATGGGTCAGTAGGCCTGTTGCAGTGTTCCTTCTTTCTTATGTTCTTGTGCAAATTATTTATATACATGTATGTAGGTTCTTGCTGACTTGCACAGTAAAATATAACTGATGTCAGTTCTATGTACACTACCAGTCTCGTTTATTTTTTGGCTGAAGTAGCATCAGATTTATTTTTGGTGAAATTGCATGAACCTGACTTAAATGATTCTTATAATTATAAGTAAATGCTAAACACAAAAGGGCCATACAGTGCTGCTGGGTAGTTGTGTGCTAAACGTGTAATATGTTTGATCAGAGACTTAAATAAAAGTCATTCTTCACCTCAAGACTTTTTTTGGTTCGTGATATTATTGGCATTGTTTGGCCAGCACAAGTTTAGAGCTTGCTTTTTTAATGTTAAGATTTGATTCACTTTTTTTCAGAATTGGCAACAGATTCCCACAAATTCAGAGCCAAGAAAGACCGAAAACAACAGCGAGCTTCATTCCGAGATGTAGTTCGCACGGTGGAGGAGGGAGAGTTACCGTGCGAAACAGTGTCAGTGGGGCCACAACACCAGAGACAAGAGTTACTGTTAGACACTTGGTCACTTAAGCTGCAATACTCGTCTTTGTGCCGTGCACTCGCCCAAGGACTTAGCACCCATATCACCTTCAATGTTGGGGTAAGTAGAATGAGCTGTTTGTGATAAGCAAAGTTTTTTTTTTTCCATTAAAGATGCATGTGCACGAAATTTGTTGTACAGTTGTTAACGCCTAGGTTCTGTTCTTGCCTCTTGACATCTTTTTTGCCTTTGGAGTTTTCTAATTTTTGGAGAATGGCCCAACAGAATCCATCGTAGTTATTTTGAAGAATTTGGTAGTATTTTTTATTACACTGATGGCCCAAGGTAAACTAAAAATCTTGATCACATTACCTTAAAATCTGCCTTTATAGAAGGGCTCAGATTTAGTGATTCAGTGTTCTCTTGAACTGCATTTCCCCACCTTACCCCACTTTCAATTTCAAGATGCTGTAATTCCAAGTTTCTGTAACTGAAATTTGATAAGCTGATTTCTGTGAATTTAGCTGAGCAGTTTCCATAAGCTCCTTTATGAAGATAATCTAACTTTCAGTCCAGCAACATCTCAAATTACAACCTCCCAACAACATCTCAAATTACAACCTCCTAGCAACATCTCAATTTACAACCTCCCAGCAACATCTCAATTTACAACCTCCCAGCAACATCTCAGTTTACAACCTCCCAGCAACATCTCAGTTTACAACCTCCTAGCAACATCTCAGTTTACAACCTCCCAGCAACATCTCAGTTTACAACCTCCCAGCAACATGCCAGTTTACAACCTCCCAGCAACATGCCAGTTTACAACCTCCCAGGAACATGCCAGTTTACAACCTCCCAGCAACATGCCAGTTTACAACCTCCCAGCAACATGCCAGTTTACAACCTCCCAGCAACATGCCAGTTTACAACCTCCCAGCAACATGCCAGTTTACAACCTCCCAGCAACATGCCAGTTTACAACCTCCCAGCAACATGCCAGTTTACAACCTCCCAGCAACATGCCAGTTTACAACCTCCCAGCAACATGCCAGTTTACAACCTCCCAGCAACATGCCAGTTTACAACCTCCCAGCAACATGCCAGTTTACAACCTCCCAGCAACATGCCAGTTTACAACCTCCCAGCAACATGCCAGTTTACAACCTCCCAGCAACATGCCAGTTTACAACCTCCCAGCAACATGCCAGTTTACAACCTCCTAGGGAGGTGTGGCTGCTCTGCCATTGTGATACGGGAAGCCTGCTAAATATTTCTCACTGGCAGTATTGGTGGTCTTTTCTAACTTACTATTGTGCAAAATGACTTAAATTTCGCAAACTTCATCTTGTATACAGTATATACTTTCCTGTGTTTGAGTTCCTCAATCCTATACTATTTCCTTTCTATTTTAGGAGGCCTTGTGTAAGACCAGGTGACAGTTGTAATTCTTAAACCATTAATGGACACAACACACTCCCTCTAGGCTCACTCATCTATTGTTCATTTGTGAATAACTGAGTATCTTAGAGTAAATATGAAAGTAGGAAAGGAAGACCAAGAAGATATTGTGAGGAAATGTCTAATAAATTTTCAGTTTATTAGAAGCTTCCTCGCTACAACTAATAAACATTTAATAAACTTTCAGTTTATTAAATGTTTATTAAACATTTAATAAATTTTCAGTTTATTAGATGTTTATTAGTTGTAGTGAGGAAGCTTCTAATAAATTGAAAGTTTATTAGATGTTTCCTCATACAATGTCTTCTTGGTCTTCCTTTGCTACTTTCATATTTACTTGACTGATGCATTGCATTAAATAATTTTTTTTTTCAACAAGTCAGCCATCTGCCACCAAGGCAGGGTTACCAAAAAAGAAAGAATATCCCCAGAAAGAAAATACTTTCATCATCATCCAACACTTTAACCTCACTCACACATAATCACTCTTTGCAGAGGCACTCAGATACGACAGTTTAGAAGTCCCTCCAAACTGTCAATATCCCAAACCCCTCCTTCAAAGTGCAGGCATTGTACTTCCTATTTCCAGGACTCCAGTCCAGCTAACCAGTTTCCTTGAATCCCTTCACTAAATATTACCCTGCTCACACTCCATCAGCTTGTCAGGTCCCAAAATCCATTCGTCTCCATTCAGTCCTATCTAACACACTTACACGTGCTTGCTGGAAGTCCAAGCCTCTCTCCCACTAAAGCTTACCCCCTCCCTCCAACCTTTTCAAGGACGACCCCTACCCTGCCTTCCGTCCCCTACAGATTTATACACTCTCCAAGTCATTCTACTTTGATTCATTGTCTCTAAATGATCAAACCACCTCAATAACCCCTCTTCAGCCCTCTGACTAATACTTTTAGTAACTCCACACCACCTAATTTCCACGCTTCGAATTCTCTGCGTAATATTTACACCACACGTTGCCCTTAGACAGGACATATCCAGCTGCCTCCTTGCTGCAGCATTTACAACCCAAGTTTCACACCCATATAAGAGTGTTGGTACCACTATACTTTCATACATTCCCTACTTTGCCATTGATAACATTTCTTGTCTCCACAAGATACCTGAATGCACCACTCTCCGTTTTTCCTTCACCAGTTCTATGGTTAACCTCATCCTTCATAAACCCATCCGCTGACAAGTCAACTCCCAAATATCTGAAAACATTCACTTCTTCCATACTCCCTCTCTCCAGTGTGATATCCAATTTTTCTTCAACTCATTTGATACCCTCATCACCTTATCTCTGCTTACTTTCAACTTTCTACCTTTACACACCCTCGCAAACTCGTCCATTAACCTTTGCAACTTTCCTTTAGAATCTCCCATAAGTACAGTATCATCAGCAAAAAGTAACTGTCGGCTCCCATTTTGTACTTGATTCCCCATAATTTAATTCCACCCCACTCTCCAGCACCTTTGCATTTACTTCTTTTACAACCCCATCTATAAATATATAAACAACCATAGTGACATTACACATCCCTTTCTAAGACCTACTTTTACTGGGAAGTATTCTTCCCTCTCCTACACACCCTAACCTGAGCCTCGCTATCCTCATTAAAATTCTTTACAACATTTAGTAACTTACTGCCTATTCCATACACTTGCAACATCTGCCACATTACTCTCTTATCCACTCTATCATATGCCTTTTCTAAATAATATTTTTTGTTAACGTATATTCATTATCTATTCAAGTGGTTAAAGAATACCGTTGAGGAGTTCTGAGAGTTTTTCTACACCTTGGCTGGCCTTAGACCAAGCATTGTTACATAATTGATTGGGCAATACAAGAATTCCTTGTATTTAAATGTTTTGTTTTACAAATAAGTATGGTAGTAGGTTGGTAGACAGCAACCACCCAGGGAGGTACTACCGTCCTGCCAAGTGAGTGTAAAATGAAAGCCTGTAATTGTTTTACATATTGGTAGTATTGCTGGTGTCTTTTTTGTTTGTCTCATACACATGCAAGATTTCAGGTATATCTTGCTACTTCTACTTGCACTTAGGTCACACTGCACATACATGTACAAGCATATATATATACACACACCCTTCTGGGTTCTCTTCTATTTTCTTTTTAATTCTTGTTCTTGTTTATTTCCACTTGTCTCCATGGGGAAGTTGAACAGAATTCTTCCTCCGTAAGCCATGCTTGTTGTAAGAGGTGACTAAAATGCCGGGAGCAAGGGGCTATTAACCCTTTCTCCTGTATAAATTACTAAATTTAACCCTTAAACTGTCCAAACATAGATCTACATTTTTTCAACATTTGAAAGTATGTTAAAAAACGTAGATCTTTTTTTTTTTTTTTTTTTTTTTTTTTTTTTTTTTTTTTTTTACATTTGAAAACGTGTAAAAAAACTTCGATCTGTGTTTTTTTTTTTTTAAATATGTAAAAAACCGAAGATCTACTTTTGGAGCACTACGAATGTGAGCGTAAATCTGTTTGGACAGTTCAAGGGTTAAAAAGAGAAACTTTCGTTTTTCTTTTTGGGCCACCCTGCCTTGGTGGGATACGGCCGGTTTGTTGAAAGTACAGTGGACCCTCGACCAACGATGGCATCGTCTAACGTTAAATTCGACTAGCGATACATTTTAACGCAAAAATTTTGCCTCGACTAGCGCTAAAAAACTCGACCAACGCGATTCGTTCCGTCTGAGACACGTCCACTTGTGGCCAGTGTTTACAAGCCAGCCAGCCAGCCACCGCGGTCCCATCCAAATATACAATCGGAACATTTCATATTATCACAGCGTTTTTAGTGATTGCACCTGCAAAATAAGTCACCATGGGCCCCAAGAAAGCTTCTAGTGCCAACCCTACAGCAAAAAGGGTGAGAATTACTATGGATATGAAGAAAGAGATCATTGCTAAGTATGAAAGTGGAGTGCATGTCTCTGAGCTGGCCAGGTTGTACACAAAACCCCAATCAACCATCGTTACTATTGTGGCCAAGAAAACGGCAATCAAGGAAGCTGTTCTTGCCAAAGGTGCAACTATGTTTTCGAAACTGAGATCGCAAGTGATAGAAGATGTTGACAGACTGTTATTGGTGTGGATAAATGAAAAACATATAGCAGGAGATAGCATCTCTCAAGCGATCATATGTGAAAAGGCTAGGAAGCTGCATGAGGATTTAATTAGAAAAATGCCAGCAACTGGTGGTGATATGAATGAATTTAAGGCCAGCAAAGGTTGGTTTGAGAGATTTAAGAATCGTAGTGGCATACATAGTGTGATAAAGCATGGTGAGGCTGCCAGTTTGGACCAAAAAGCAGCTGAAAAATATGTGCAGGAATTCAAGGAGTACGTAGACAGTGAAGAATTGAAACCTGAACAAGTGTTTAATTGTGACACTGACAATGTTGTGAAACACTTTAGGAATGTCATAAAGGAACGGGAGGTACAGGCCTCTATGGACAGATATGTTGTGCGACAGAGGTCCAGTGACTCTCAAGCTAGTCCTAGTGGCATTAAAAGAAGGGAAGTAACCCCGGAAAAGGACTTGACACTTCAAGTCCTAATGGAAGGGGATTCCCCTTCTAAACACTAACACCATCCACACACTCCCCTCCTCCCATCCCATCAATCATCACC